CACTTCTGCTCTCCAGGTCTCCGTCTAACCCGTCACCAAACGCTGTGAGGCGTCGGCTTCCGGCGCGGACCTCAGCCCTCGAGCATCCCGGCCGCGAGAGCGAGCCGCGTGGGAATGAAGGGACCCGCACCCTAGGAACGTGTGCTGCACACCTGGGGGGGCCCACGCAGAAGGCAGCCCTGAAGGACAGGTGGGCTTCAACGGCTCTGGGTGGGGGAGAACTCCCCCCCCACCTTCAGCCCACGCGTGCTCACGGGCCTTTCTCCACGTGCCCCACACCCGGCCAGGCTTCGCTGACCGTCCAGGGTTCACTGACGTGGCCGGTGAAGAGGTAAATGGGGTGGGGGGAGAAGGCGTGGGCAGAAGCAGCTAAAACGCACCCACAGTGGGCCGAAGGGTTCAGGGGGACGGGAACAGGAAGGCTTGTCGGTTTCCCAGGAAGGAGGAAGAGCTCTCTGAAGAAGGAGCCTGAAAGGGTGATACAGTAACAGCACGATGTCGTTCTAATTCGTTCTAATGATGATGTCATTGCGATCACCACCGCCTCAGGCTTCTCGTGAGTGCTGACGGTGCACTAGGCAAGCTACGCAGTTCACCCTGCTGTCCGCACGCTCCTTCGACAGGTATGGAAAACGAGGCTTAGGAAAAACTAGCCACCATAAGGGCCCAGATTAGAGCCCCTGTGTGTGTCTCCAAAGGCCAGCAGCCCCTAGTCAGCGGGCTGCAGGGAGAGCTCATCCCAGACGGGGCCTGAGCACGGGTGGGGGAGGGGACAGTCCTGGGATGACCATCCCGAGACGGTGACTCCAGAGCGGCCGCAGCGGGGTCAACGAGAGCCGGGAGAGCCCCTGCCAGGCACCTGACCTTGCGCACAGGCACTGGACAGACACAGTCTGACTTCATGGACTGATCAGATCAGCGGGGAACGGACCGGGATTGAGCCAGGGGAGGTGAAGAGTCGAAGGAGCGTGCGGACTGAGCAGGGTGAACTGCGTGGCTTGCCTGGTGCACCGTCAACACTCGCGAGAAGCCTGAGCCGGTAGTGATCGCAATGACATCATCATGAGAACAACCGTCCAGGCGAGGAACGGCGGCTGGCTGAGGTGAGAGGGTGCGCAAGAACCTGGGAGCACGCGCTCTCGCGGTGTTAGGTCTGCTGGAGTATGCGCATGTCTGAAAGGGACGTGTGCAAGTGTGCGTGTGCATGTGCCTTCCTGTTGAATGGGGTTGCCGAGCCTTCCTGACGGGAGGGGGCTGGCAAGCAGGGGAGAGGAAGGGACAGGACACATCGACTGGCCTCAGCAGGAGGGCCCTGGTGAGTGAGGAACCACCTTTGGCAGCTCAGTGAAGGAAGCCCACAGAGCCTGGCACAGTAGAGGGACGCGAGTGACATTCGTTAGAGTGGTGATGAATGCATTTAAGATCGTGGCCTCAGGTTTCTTCGGAGGCCTGGCTTTGCCCTTCAGCTGGGTGGAGGTCGCTGCCGTTCCCACTAGACCCTCCCCCATCCCTGCTCCCCTGCGCCCCAGACCGGATGTGCTGCACTGGAGCAGCCACTCCCCGGGTCCCAGCCCTCTCCCTGGGCTTGTGCCCCCTCCGATATTCGTCTAGCAGACTCCAGGTTGACTTCATACTTTCCCAGGCCAGCGTCTCCCCTCCTCCCTCCTATTCCAGAGCTGCCAAGTTGCCCTCCAGCTTTTGTCTGGGCTGAAGACACAGGGCTTCTTATCAGGGCCGAGCACTACCAGCACCTCCTGCCCGGCTCCCTAGCTGGCCGAAGGCTCTCCTCCGGGGGCCTGCACAGACCCACCAAAGCACGGATCTCATCCTCTCTGCTTCTTCAAGGCTCCACCCAGCCCGTTTGGTCCTGGCAGAAGAGACCAGGTAGACCAGAGTCCAGGAGGGGCCGGCTCCCACAGCCCAGGAGAAAGCTTGGTCTCAGTTTCTTGGGAACCTGGGTGTAAGGGAGGTTTTGTCTGGAGTAAACAGAGACCAGCCCCCTTTCGGCTCGGCTCAGCTGCAGCCCTGTTTTCTGAAATAATGACTACGATTCAGCAACTAGCGAGAAAAGGGATCTCTTTCAGATCGCATAACCGACAAAAATTTAGAGGAATGCCTTTGAAATCATGGAACTTAAACCCCCGTACAAACAAGGCAACGTTGACAGATAGAGAAATAGGCAGATGTGGAAAGAGAGTCTAAAATCTTGGAGGGTTTCAGTAGCTTCAGATCAGCCTACACTATTTCTGGCTTTCACCAAAAGCCCAGTTTGTATTCAAAAAAAATATCTGTGGAATAAATGCACTTACCCCTGGGGCAGAGCCTGGACTAGAACCTGGGCCTGTGCCTCCAGGCTCTCTGCCCCCTGGGGCTGTGGCTGTCAGGACTGCTTCATTTCCTCCAGGGCACTCGGGCAGAAGCTGGTGGGTGATTTGTTAGACAGTGAGTCCTGGGGGCTGCCTGGCACAGTCTGCCTGCCCATCCAGATGGCAGCCACCTGAATCCAACAGGGCCGGGGGGGTGCGTGCTCTGATTTATGGGGAGTTACTGGGGTCTGGGTAATTGCTCCTTCTTGCCACGCCCTGGAAGAAAACGTAATGAAGCAGGCTCCCCACTAGGGGACCCACACTTGGAAGGGACATACCAGTCCCCAGAGAATAACTGCCAGTAAGAAGGCAAGAGATGTAAACAGGGAGTGTGGGGTCACAGATCCTGGCTGAGGAGTCAGAACGCCCCAGCCTCAACGTCCCCACGCACACGATGTCCTGATCGGATGCTCCCTCAGGGCACCTTCTGGCTCTTAGAAATCGAGGATTCCAAGGTCAGAGACCGTGCCTTCCTCCTCACCTTCATGTCCCCAGCAACTAACACCTAACAGGGCCGTAAACCAGTTCACTGAATGACTGACCGACTGAGATGGGTTCTCGGTCAGTTCCAAGATCACAGAGGCCAGGAAGAAGGCTCCTGTTTCCAGCGTCCACCACCGGATCACCAGAGAATCCACAGGTCTGGGAAAAGCCTGGCATCCCGGAGCCCTTTGCAAACCTGCTTCCTCTCTTAGAGGCACAGATGTGATTGGAGGAACCCAGCAGGAAAATGTGCCGGGGGAAGGGGGGAGGCCTGGACCCCGGCAGGAGATCGCCCACTTGCTGTGTTAGCTAGCTCACCTGGCTCCCTCCTTCCCGCTGCCTGGCTCCTCTCTCCTGTGTGGCCCCGTTTCCTCTCCCAGCCCTTCCCTGTCCTCCCTTCCTCTCCTTGAAGTCACCTTTCCTGCCTCCTTTGTGGAAGCTCAGAGCCTTCTGCTGGTCCCAGACTGCCTGACACTCTGAGCAGAGACTCCTAGGACATCCAGGAGCCTCAGGCTTTCTCAGGGGCAGAGCATGGAGAGAGCAGCGTGAAGAGATTTAAATTCTGGTCTGAGACTGGCCTCTGGAGTCTAGCACCCAGGAGAGGGGCTCCCCCTTGGAGGGGATCTGGAAGTGCATTTCTCATTATCTTCCACTCAGGGTTCCTGGGGAGATGGCTCCCTCTGGGCCTCCCGCTGTGCGCCTTAGCACAGAGCCTGATCAGGCAGGAAATGTCCGGTCTTCCAGCTGAGATGTATTTAGAAGTACCGCGTGTGTATGTGTGTGTGTGTGCGCACACGCACGTGTGTGTTGGGGAAGCTATGGCAAGGGTTCCAGTTTGTGTGTCTGTGTGTGAGCACGTACAACCTGATGGCAGGGTGTATGGGGAGCGCCGTGGGTGGTGTGTTGTAGTGAGGTATGTGCATGTGTGTTTGGTGTGTATGTGATGTGCATACGTGTATCAGTGGTGGTGTGTGTAGTGTGGCATGTATGTATATGTTTGGGTGTGTTTGTGACGTGTAGTGTGGGGGCATGAGTGCAGTGGGTAAAGAGGCCATGTCCGTTTGGGGGGGAGCTAGCTATGCAGGGTCCCCCACCCAGAGAAGCCAGGATAACCAGTAACTGGGCAGCCATGTTGGGGGGAGGGGAGGAGATATGGAGGTGAGGAATGGGCAGGAAAAGGAGGGAGACTGAGAATTCAAGGAGTTTCCATGGCAACTACCAGGCAGGTCACATGCAGAAGGCTAAGGTGCTGGAGACAGATATACACATCCACACACACACAATATGAGGGCACTGGGCCCCAGAGCGGGGTTCCTTTCAAAGAACGGGCTGCCCAGCTACCCATCTCCGATCCTGAAGTCCGGCCGGCCAGAGCGCACCGGCCGAGGAGACAAAGGAAGTGGAGACAGAGGCCACGCGGGTGGAAAGCAGCCTTCGCAGCCCCCCACATCGGGAGGTGGGCAGCAGGGGTCCGGGCAGGCCCGCTTCTCCGGCGCAGCTGTGCCCTGCTCCCACCCTGGGGTGCCTTCTGGGGCAGCCGCCACTTGTAAGAGCCAGAGGCAGCGCCGGGAGCTAGGGCTGCTCTTCCAACTCTGCACGGAAGCTCGGCGAGACACAATGGGGAGGTTTTGCCAGCGTCAGCCCTGCCCAGAAAGGGGCTGGGGAGGGGGGAAGGGGGAAGGGGGGGTCTCCCTCGAAGAACTCGGGAGTGGATAAACAAAGGGGAGAAGAACACTGATGCACACGTTCTCCCGAAGCCCCGTGCCCAGGAACCCCGGCCCTTCCTTGCCTCCCCCCATCGCCTGCCACTCCCCAAACCAGCACGTTCCATTTTGCGCGTGTCCCCACGCACGGCCAGGCGCCCTCCCAAGCCCGACTCCGGCGTCCGCAGCTCGCCGGCTGCGAAGGGAAGACGCCTCCTGCGGAACGGGTGGTGCGGCGCTTCCCCTTCTTCTGAAAACCAAGCTCCAGGCGGCAGCAGCCTCGCGCCCCGCACGGCCTGCCGCCCTCGGAGGCCCCTGTCCCCTTCCGACGCCCCCGCTGCCCGGGAACGCGGCGCACACCCACGAAACAAACCGACCCGTCCCCACCCTCGCGAGCCTCTCCCTCCCGGAATTAGAACCCAACTCTGCCACCTCCGCAGCCGCTCACCTGCACAGCGCGGTCCCCCGAGGCGCTGCCCGGAGCCCGTGCGGGGAACAGAGGAGCAGGAGTGCGCGCGGGCCGGCGCTGGGACAGGCTCTGTTTCCCGCCTCCCGGCGTCCTGCGGGCTGCGAGCGGCGGGCGGGGCTCCGCGGGCTGCTGGGGGCGGGGCCCGCGGGCTGCTGGGGGCGGGGCCCGCGGGCTGCTGGGGGCGGTGGGCGGTGGGCGGGGCCGCGGGCTGCTGGGGGCGGTGGGCGGGGGCTTCGCGAGCTGCTGGGGGCGGGGCCCGCGGGCTGCTGGGGGCGGTGGGCGGTGGGCGGGGCCGTGGGCTGCTGGGGGCGGTGGGCGGTGGGCGGGGCCCGTGGGCTGCTGGGGGCGGTGGGCGGTGGGCGGGGCTTCGCGAGCTGCTGGGGGCGGTGGGCGGTGGGCGGGGCCCGCGGGCTGCTGGGGGTGGTGGGCGGGGGCTTCGCGAGCTGCTGGGGGCGGGGCCAGCGGGCTGCTGGGGGCGGTGGGCGGTGGACGGGGCCCTCAGGCTGCTGGGGGCGGTGGGCGGTGGGCGGGGCCCTCAGGCTGCTGGGCGCGGTGGGCGGGGCTTCGTGGGCTGCTGGGGGCAGGGCCCGCGGGCTGCTGGGGGTGGTGGGCGGGGCCCGCGGGCTGCTGGGGGCGGTGGGCGGGGGCGGGGCCCTCGGGCTGCTGGGCGCGGGACCTGCGGGCTGTCGGGTCGGGGGGCAGCCCCTTCGCGGGGCGGGGGGAGGGAAGCGGTTCTTGCAAAGGGCCGCCACCTCCGAGAAGCAACAGGAGCCTGCGGCCGAGGGCGGGCCAGCGCCGCGCGACCTGCAACCGGCTGCCGCCCTTTGATTTTCCTCGGGTGAGGGTGGGAAGGGAGCGAGACAAACAGGATGATGGAGCTGCTGTCACTCGGAAATAGTAAACCGAGGGGAACGGGAAAATCAGATGAAATAACCTAGCACCAGACGCAGCAGCCCACGTCCATCGGAGTCTTGGCAGCGAAAGGGAAGCGGGTGCCTCTGGTTGTAGTTGTCATTCAGCTAGAGCCAGGTGGGGTGCTGGGGGTGGGGCGCTCAACCCCAACCACAGATTTGCCGCCCACACACCCCTTTTCAAGACCCCCATCCTGGCCCTGCCGGTCTGGGTGCTGCCCCCTCCCCAGCCCACCCCTCGGGATCCAAATGCAGGATGGAAAACTGCATTTGAAGATTTAAATCCTGGTTCTACACAACTCAGCCTGTGACTTGACCTGGGAGGCTGGGCTAGCCCTCAGGGTGCTCACGAACCCCGCTGTCCTCAGACCAGTAGGCTTGTAGGGAGGCAAGGGGCCAGGCCTGGGCAGAAAACACAGCAAGGACTGGCCACTCGGTTGGTACCCAGGAAGCCATGCTGCTGGCCATGAGGATGTCTGGCCTGAGCCAAGATGGGGCCAACAGGATGAGGGGTGGCTCCTGAGAAAGACTGCCATGTCCAAGTCCGGGCAGGGCCCCAGGGACTTTATTACAGACCCTCAGCCCTGGGAGAATGGCTACTGCTAAGAAGAGTCCAGCCCTACCTCTAACACCCCAACCCTGGGCCTCCATTTTCTCATTCCTGCAAAGAAGGAAATGGGCTAGATAACCCTGAAGCCCCTTCCAGCTCGAACCCTGGATGATTGAATTGTTTTAACAAATAGTCTGATCTTGAAACCTCAAGGCAGGAAATACACAGATCAGATTTGGAAGCCGTAAATGGCTGCTGAGAGAGTGAGGCCTTGGGGAGGACAGCTGTGATTCATGTGGCTTTACGTAGAGGAGTAACCTGTGTGTCCCTGTCTTTTCCTCTACAAGCTGAGGACTTGGTTGCAGCATCTTTGCCCCTCTTGGTTTGCTCTTAGGTGAGAGGTCAAACCATGCCCCTTGCTAGGCCTGTGTCCTGGGGCAAGTATTAATCCTCCCAGATGCCCTTTAATGCTGCCTGTTGGTCAGCTCCCTCATTGCTTTTTGAGTTTGTACTGGAGAGACATCAAACCCAGGCTTTGCAAGCCTGTTGGGGAAAGGAAAGACCAGGGGTTGGAACTCCAAAGCTGAGCCACCTAGAAGTACCAGCCCCTTCCCTGCCAAGAATTCCAAAGTGGCACATTACTTCCCAGGCACCCCACCTGACACTGCTGACCTGTGACAGGTGGCAGAGGGACCCCAGAAAGGTGATGGCTTGCCTTGCAAATGGTGTTTCTTCCCAGTCCATCCAGGGACACTGCTGAAGGAGTTTGGGGTAACATAGCTGTGAAGTCACACACCAGCTTGTTCTAGAGCAGCGGTTCTCAATCTGTGGGTCGTGACCCCTTTGGGGGTCAAACAACCCTTTCACAGGGGTCACCTAAGACCATCAGAAAACACATTTCCAATGGCGATTCATAACAGTAGCAAAATTACAGTTATGAAGTAGCAACAAAAATAATTTTATGGTTGTCATCACAACATGAGGAACTGTATTAAAGGGTCACGGCATTCAGAAGGTTGAGAATCACTGTTCTAGAGGGAGTCATGTCTCCTAGTGGGAGAAGAAACACGTCTGGTTTCTACCCTATGAATGGGTCAAAATAGGTCAAACATGTGGACATGGGTCAAAAAAGGTCAATCATGTGGGCATGGGTCAAAAAAGGTCAATCATGTGGGCATGGGTCAAAAAAGGTCAATCATGTGGGCATGGGTCAAAATAGGTCAAACATGTGGGCATGGGTCAAAAAAAGGTCAATCATGTGGGCATGGGTCAAAAAAGGTCAAATGTGGGCATGGGTTAAAAAAGGTCTATCATGTGGGCATGGGTCAAAATAGGTCAAACATGTGGGCATGGGTCAAAAAAAGGTCCCAACTGCTCCATTCTTTTTTCTTTAATCCTCACCCAAGGATATTTTCCATTTATTTTCAGGCAGAGTGGAAGGGAGGGAGGGAGAGAGAGGGAGAGAAATATCGATGCAAAAGAGAGGCATCAACTGATTGCCTCCCATGTGACCCTGACCAAGGCCAGGACCAAACTGCAACCAAGGTATGTGCCCTTGGCCAGAATCGAACCCACAACTCTTTGGTCCACAGGCAGACACTCTAACCACTAAGCAAAAACGGCCAGGGCTGCCATCTCTCGGCCTGCTGGGATCGGTGCAACGCAATGGAACTACCAGCACACAGTGCTTGGAGTGAGGGGGAGCTGTGCAAGGGAGCAAGTGCTCCAGATTTCTGGACGCAGTCCCATTTATTTGCAGATTGGTACCCCCAGGTCACAAGTGGATTTAAGCAAATTATTTCCTTGAGATGGCATTACTGCAAACATACACCCTAGCTTTGTCTCTTGCTTTTAATGGGAAGAAATCTTGAAGCCAAAAGATAACAAACCCTTATTCAGATGCAAATTAAGCACCCAATACACCTGGGAGGGCCAGGTTCCGCCCCCTCTCCCCTGAGCTAGGATTCTGAGAACGCATTAACACAAGGTTGAGAGTGCTTAACACAAGGTTATAAAACATCCATCTTCCAACCCCCAACCTCACATGTGTATTGATATGAGGAGGTACTCTTCACTGAGCCTTGGGCCAAGCCCTGGGGTGTAATGCTAAAAGCAAAGACACACTAATAGGTGAGATATTTATCAAATAGTCTCATGAATAAGTGTGTAACTAAAACATGTTCAAACGCCCAAGGGTGTAGCATTTGAGAAGTGAGCTGAAGGGTCAGGAGATATTAAGGAGATGAGGTGAAGAAGCCAGGAATTGGAGTGACTGGCAGGCTTGGGAAATGATTCTGACACACAAACAGAAGCAACATGTGCAAAGGCCCTGAGGCAGAAGGAGCTTGGCATGAAAGAAGCCACTGTGGCTCTTAAGCAGCAGAGACAGGTCAGAGAAAGAATCAGATACCAGAGCAGGCAGGCCTGATGGTCACTTCCTAGGTGAATCCAACCTTTATCCTCACAGCAGTGGGAAGCCGCTAAAAGGCACCAATACACTGCTGCAAGCAAGAACTGGGGAGTAGCTGGCAGTTGCCTGGGGACTCTCCAGCCAGGAGTTTGGGGCTGAGGACAGCAGAGCTAAACTGAGGTTAAGGAATGGGCCTGAATCCCAGCTGAAGAGAACCCCACTTCCCTAGAGGCCCAAGGAGCAGGGAGAGCGAGATGGGGCAGGGGTGCACAGCCATGGTGGATGCGGGGAACAAACCATTTCTGAAATACTCCTTCCGCCACCCCACTCCCAGAATCGGAGCCATGCAGGGCCTCAGGCTTGGGGAGACAGCACAGCTGTCGGGAGCATAAAGACCTGCTCCGTGCCCTAAAGCGTGTGTTCAGACTACATAACCGACCACTGTGCCGCTGAGCCCCATCCGGATAGCATTGTCCGGTTCCCTTATGCTGTGGCAAAAACAGCTCTTCACTCTGTCAGTCCCCGGGTCACACAGAGGCAGGGAAAATGGAAGGTGCAAGCCCAGGAATCTAGGAAGAAAGACCCCTGCCCTTTCTAGCAGGAAACCCTCCGAGATGAACTAGGGAAGCTTTTGGGGTGCCATTTCATCCTGGGGTGCAGAAGGAAGAACCAGAGCAGACCCTGCCCGCTGTCGAGGCTCAGGGCAGGCTACCCCTAGAGACCGCACAGTGGCACGTTGATTTGGGGGAATTAAAATTACTTGAGAACCTGCCTGGAAGGAAACGCTGACTTCTCTGTTCTTCCCTCCGAAGCAGAAGGTGAGTCTCCCCTGTAATGGGTGCCCCCCTGCCCCTGAGGGCCGAGAGAGCCGGATCACAACAGTTCGAAGAATCCAGAGTGGAAAGATATAAACAAGCCTAGTGACACCTCTACTGACGTACTACCCAAGCCCAGAGTGTGTTCAGATTCCTCCCTGAGGAGTGTCCGAACCTTACTTGGGTTCCTTTCCAATGAGCACTAATGGTTTTTGTCCTGTCGATTTCTCACCGTTGATTGTCTCTTTGTCTAAAAAGCAGAAAAAGGTGTCTGTTTCGGTCATTTCTTTGAGCTTCGTTCTATGATCTGAGCATCATATTGTGAGTCTCCAATGAGAACATGTTAAATGGATGTTTCTGTGATATTCCAGTCCTGTGTCAATTTTA